CATGATGAAAGCCAACAAGCCATTCAGTATGTCCACTCTTGCCCAAGCTCTGAGGTTTACAATTCTGAGGTGAGATTGTGTGTGTGTGTTATTTGCTCCACACTTCCATTTGAAAATAATTTTCAACTTCTTTTTTTTCAATTGCAGGCCAGGAGGTTCCTGGACCACATGGTCACTTATCCAGTTGGATTGACTGGCAGTGGGCTGTTCCTCATCACTAGGACTTTCATTCTTGGGGTGAATCAAATCATAAATGCATTTCTTGCAACAAGAAAACAAAGGCATTTCAAGGCCATTAAAATTTTGACTTCAGCTCTTCACCTGCATAAAGTTTCAATACAGTCAAATTGGACATTGAAGTACAATGTACAAAGAAAAAATTTTAAAACCTTTTGTATCACCTGCACATGGGCACAGTGATGTATTTTTTGATGGACTGAGGCATTCCCCCAGGGAAGTGTATTTCCAGAAAAAATGCATATCTGATTACTGCTGGGAATTATAAAAAGTCCCCAATACACGTGGTACCTTGCAATTCAACCCTGATACATTGCCAAACTAGGGACAAACTGCAAATTGGTCAAATTGCAAGACACTCCATAAATTTCAAAAATATAAGTACAAAAATGTTAAAAATGGCCAAAGCAGGTTGAATTGCTGGGCAAGGGTAAAATTTCAAATTAACCTCTGTGCAAATTTGACCATCAAATTGCAGGACAGTTGAATTGTGGGAGGTCAAATTGCAAGGTACCATCTGTAATGTACATCATTTGTACCTAGTACATCAAAAGTACTACTGCACAATGACATCAAAAATACTCAGGAAGGAAGAAAACCAAAATTCAACACAACAATGCTGATGAAATGCATTCAAAAATTTCATACAATTTTAAAAGCAATATACAGGCAGCCACATTTCCCACAGCAACTTTAATTTTATTTTAAAAACAGATATACTGTAGTACTTGACATGAAGACATGTATCAAGAGATGAATTTTTGTGACTAACTTTTTACAACTAAGCAATTGGATCCTGGAAAAATATTACTTTCATGCTCTGAACAAATTTGTTTCATTGATATTTTATATTGTGCTTTTAAACAGCAAATGCTTTTAAAAATTCCTTCCTAGTAGGAATTTTTTTTTAGAATGAAATCCAACTGTGTAAAAATCAGCAATGTCTAACAGAGGCAAAAATTGGTGTCAACTTCAGCATATTGTGAAATAAAAATTAAGGGGTCCATTAACCAGGGTACCACTGTACTCACCAAAACAGGAATGTCTTTACCATTAACCTCTACATAGAATGAACTTTTTTCTGGTCCTAGCAAAACGTTTTCGATTACAGTACTGATCAGCTCATTTAAAATACTGTATATCCTTAGAATAGGGAATTGTTACACATTTTTTCCCATGAATTTTCAAGGAAAAAGCCAAAATGTGTCAGAAAGCCAACACTAATTTTCTGCCTGCTCAGAAGAAATGGAAAAAAGTTTAAAATTTCCGCTTTGTCCAGGTATAAATGAAAAAAATTGGTAAAAATAATAAAATACAACTGTGCTGTACATATATGATAAATTCGTTTTTTTCTAAATTTCCAGATTGTTTCAGCGGTGGTGACCTATGAAATGGTGCTGCTGCAGTTCGATGCGACCTGAGAAGCTCAATACGACAGGAAATCTATAAAAGCGCACATCTGAAGAGACGCTCAACAAACGGAAACTTTCATCCGAAAAAGTCGGAAATGATCTGATGGTGGTTACCGAAAAAGAAAAACCAAATGTAAAAGATATTATAATGCGGGAAATACAACCAAAAATACACAGATTTTTTTTTTTACTCATTTGCTCAACTCATTCCCATCATACGTCAAAGGCAGAGAAACCGTCCCGTGGGGAAACTGGGTTCTGCGCAGCACGGGGAAAAATTATCATTCAGGGGGTCTTCCCAAAAATGTTGAAGGTCCCTGTTCGAAGTATATCAACGGGAAAAAATTTTCATCTGTTCTGTTCTCGATAACGAGATTTTTTTTGAGTACAAAGAAAAGTAATTTGCATTTTAAAACTTAGAAAAATGCGATACACATTTAAAAAGTGCAGTAATATTTCTCATGCTCATGTTCCAATAATTCTCAATTAGTTCAACCAAAATTGCATCACTACATATTGCACTTGTGCATATTCAACACATTTGGAAAGTACTGTACTGTACAGTAATTTAGTACTGTACATTATTATATCTTATGCTCATGTTCTACTAATTCTTCCACCAAAATAATTATCAACAAAAAACCCAGGTCTTTTGAAAAAAAGGTGAACTAGGTACTTGAGTAATCGCAGTGATAGTTTTTGCTGTCAATTTATTTTAGAAGCAACCCTGAGATAATTTATGATTACCTCAAAGACCATGAGACAATTTCTACTGGAAATGAAATGTGGCAGTGATAATTACTATTTTTGGGATAGAAAGTCTAATATTCTACAGTACGTACTTCTGTATACTCAAAATTGCATTCTCAGTTCATTAAAAAAAATTTAATTACAAAAAAGATGAGACTCATACGAGAAATAAATAGCGCATCAGTTGACATTGATTTCGCGTAATAATTTTTCAAACATTTTCGAGAAGACCATCATACTTTTCAGAATTGTAAAAATTAAATTGCAAAAATGACGAGTACCATTTAAACGAAAAAAAAAGCTCATCGGTTAACATTGATTTCGCACAATAATTTCGCAAATATTTTCGGGAAGACCCTCATGCTTCCGCATTGTAAAAAGATAATCGCAAAAATTATTTGAGGACCCATGCAAAAAAAATAGCACCTCGTTTCCCATTGATTTCGCGCAAAAACTTGGCGAGAAATTTCCGGAAAGACCCTCCTAACCGCGGAAGAAGAAGAAAGACACGGTCAAACTCACCCGCCCAAGTTCTACACGACGTCATCCCACAGCAACAGGAAAGTTTTTTCTCGGACATAACCCCGGAAGGACACAAACAACCCACGCGGGAATCGTTCATCACACAAATCCAGGGCGCAAACCACTTCCCAGTGCAAATCAACTCACGAAAGCATCTACCCAATCCATTCTACAGAAGCGCAAAAACACCTCCTACAAAATTACAGCAACCACTAAAACGCCAAACCAAAAAAAATTTAACACAAGAACTGAAATAATATTGTACTTCATTTTCGGAAAAGAAGAAAAACTTGTTTCAGAAGAATCAATCATTCGAAGAAAATATAAAATATACAGTATTCAAACAGTTGAACTTGAAAAATCGTATGATAAAACAAATGAAAAACAGATGGTTTAAAAAATAAAAACCCGTGCAGGAATTCACAAAAAAAAAAAAGAGAGAAATCTGGAATCGTATTTAAATGAAGGTCAGTCGTGTCTTCTGGGTGTTGATCTGCCACACGTTCAACTCTTGATATAATTCCAGACATTCGTCCACTTGGTTCGCCTTGTAGCCCTACACGAAAAAAAAATGAATAAGATTTATTTTTTGAACATCAGCAGTCATTTGTTTCGGGATTGTAAATAGTAGTTATTGATACTACATAAGCTCACTGAGCAATGATCACGCTGATAAGCATTCTTGAATGGTCGTCCAATCGTACAGAGTTTCCCTAAAAATGGATACTGTACTTACACTTTATTTGACAGAGAAGACAATTTTATCGTGATTCGTAGAACTTTCGATAAACCTCGTGCGTGCATTACTATTTATTTCACAAATTTATTCATCGCCTTCAAGTAAATAAAATCGCCTCCGCAAATCATCCATCAAAAATTGCATATACAGTAAAACCTCGTTAAAATGACGCCCTCCGGACTCAGAAAAAACTTTCAGCGTTATGATGAATTCATTATAATTAGCCAAGGGACGTCAAGAATGAATTCATTGATCATTTCATTCTCAAATTATCATATTTCAAGAATCAAAACAAAGTTAAAACGCAACAAAAATCGGATGAAGACGTCCAGTACGGTTGAATAGAAAATAAACCACAAATAATAGACACAAAAAAATTGTGTGAGACGCACTTTGGCAGCGCAACGGTCCTTGATGTCGGAAATCTTGAGCGTTCTGGTTTCCTCGCCCATGGTTCGAATGAGTGCGTAGATCACGTCAGTCACAGATTGGGCCCTTCCGACACGAGACGGATCCGGAACCAGGGAATCCTTCGACATGGTCATCAGTCTGACAGCCTCCAGAACATCCGGCTTCGTCACTTCCGTGTTCAGCCTCAACCTCGCCTGAATAAAGAAAAAAAAAAAAAAGGTGGAGGCAATGAGCATTGAGCACAAGTACTGTAATATAAAACAACCACTGCTTGCTAATAGAGAACGCACTTCCATCACCAAACATTCCATCTCTCCAATATCAAGACGGAATACGTTGATTTTTATTTATTCTCCATTCACCAGCTTATTCTTCTCCAACATTTATTATTAAAATCAGGACTTTCAATCTTTCACCATGGAAATAAAAATGGTTCAAAGGAATTCTCCATTACTTTTTCACAACATAATTGCATTAAAAAATATATATCGTGTTGGTCAGGAGCAGCCAACCCTTTCTTAAATCAGCAATTAAATTGTCATTAAAAATTTCCATCCTCGAAAATAAGTCTATGTCGTTAATCAATACACGTACTGTACTGTATTTTCTCTAAAAAATGCCAGGTCTCCAACAGAGGCCGGTCTCTCATAAGGGCCAGGACTCACAAACGCTTCAAATTAATACCGTCTTTACACAGGTTCCAAAGTCACCTTTTTTTTTAAATTAAGAAGAAATCGTCATGGGTAGGGATAACATTTTTTTAAACCTTTCAAGCTTTGGTTGCACCCCGTACTCGATCCCAACAGGGAATTTTTAACAAATTTCCGCAGACAATTCAAACAGTGGAAATTATGGAAAAGTAGCATTCAATTCGACTATGATTCAAGTAAAAAGTTGAATTTTGATGGATTTAATTGCCTATTATTTCGATTTTCAAGCCTCTCAAAGTGGGGTGTGTGTCATTTTTAACCTAATATCGATTTAAAATTTTGGGTGAGTGTCTTATCTGAGAGTCCAAGGTGTTTGATCAAGTACAGTAAAATATCGTTACAAGTTACAATGTCATTGGGACCATTAAAATAGCTTTGTTGTAAATAAAAAAATTTTCGTTAAGGTTCATGGACTGGGACCTAAAATGATAAAAATTCGTAAGCGATTATTCGTTGTAACAAGATTCTACTATACTGTAATTGAGTAAATAGCCGATTTCTAATAGTTGTAGACTCAAAGAAGGGATGCAAAGAATTCTGAGAATGCTCTTTTAATCCAAAAAATCTTTCCCGCCATGAAAAGAGAGAAATCCCCTTCTGCATCATCACTTCTTACAGCATTCTTGCCTTATTTCCAGTGAAAAAGTTGCAATCAAACTGGTTTTCATTATTTTTTAAATTGAGTTTTACTCTTCTCTTTTTTTTCTTTCGTCCTACAGTCTTAACTGCTGTAAATGTAAGCCGGTCTCCATCAAACGACGGATAAAAGTTTGATATTTCAACATAAAAGTGTTTTTATATTCTACACAATACCCGGTGGGTAAATAAAAATGAAACTCACCAAAGCAGTAGCGAGACGCAAAATGGCCAACAAAGACCGGGCACTCGTAAACGTGGCATTCTTGTCATTCCGCGCCTCCTTCCTCAGCTCCACATAAGTGCTCACAATGAACTCGGTGAGGTGTTTGGGGATGACGGCGTTGATGGCCTTGCAGCGGGCCAAGTACCGGCGCATGGACGCCATGGACAGGGGCTCCGTGGCCATGGGCGGCTCTCGCTTGTTCTTGTGCACGTAGGCCACATGGGCCGCGAGTCGCAAGTCGTTGTCCCGGTCCGGCAGATCCCGGATCAACCAGAGGAGGTCGAAACGAGACAAGAGGGCTGCAGGCAGCTGGATGTTTGCCTGGTGACAATGCCAAAAACACAATTTTTTGAAACCCCA